GGAACTAAGTGGGGAATGAGGAGCGGAAGAGAGAGAGAGAGAGAGAGAGAGAGAGAGAGAGAGAATTTCTATAATTAAATATGCAGCTTGTTTGTTGAATTGGTATTTTGTTGTGTCTTCATAGTGCTGATAATAAAAAATATTAAATATATAACTTGTTAAATGCTGTACATTAAGTGGCGTTTTATATATATATATATATATATATATATATTATATATATATATATATATACACACAAACATGAATGAATGGAAACTAAATGGCCAAACCTTGACTTCAAATACCAGCATGCATTGCTTCTGACGTCACTCGTGTTTACTTCCCCCTGGTCAATACAATACAGTGCAAGGCTTTTAAACCAATACTTTTAGTTCGAACATAACAGTAGTAAGACATATCTTTAGTGCAGTTTTTTGGGGGACACAAACGCTCTAAAAAGAAGATGGAAATCTTTTCAAAGGACATCTCGCGATATCAAAATGCTCGCTGGCGGTAATGTTACAAAACATGTTTGGTAACAAGCATGCTGTCTAAGAAAAGTGACAAGCGCCATCTCACCCCCTCGAAGCAAAACGCCTGCATAGATAACCTCGCAATTTATGCGAATTACAATTTAAATAAAGTTTAACCAGCAGTAGTGACGTCTTATTTCCTGGTTCGAGGTAAGTCCTTAAAACTCATGCCCTGTTAACGCTTATTCCTCCGTTTCCAAAAAACGATTGAAAAAACGTTACGTTTCACATCTCCCAACACCAGCCAACATGTATGGATATTTTGCATTGTGCCTAATATGCACGTCGGCTAAGAATGAAAGAGTTAAAGCTGAGGATGTACCTGAAAAATTCTTACTGGCGTCGTTGGGAACTCATCTGAAACACAAATGAACAAAAAATGATTCGGTTAAATAACCACACTGTGGCAATTGTGAGCTCCAGAAAAGAACGTTAAAACCAAACTCCAGTAAGTAAAAGCTTACTGCGCACAATCTTATGGCATCACATACAAAATATATTGCAACGTTCAGATTTTCAAAAATAACGATGCTCAATTACTGCTACTTTCAAACTACAATAGTTTGCAACGGTGTGTCCAGACGATGAAGGAAATTTTGTAAAACCCGGCGCTTTATAATTTGTAAAAATACAACTTACTGATTTTCTTTTAGCATTTTTATTTTTGACTCAGTGAGCATAGATATCATTTTAAATACATATACAGTCTTGCAAATTTCTCCTCATTTGGGCATCCACCCTACCACACACCGAGCACCCTTTAAACAGAGTGAGCAGTGCAGTTGCACTGTCGTGCAACATGACTGAGCCACTGTTTGTGTGCAGTTTCATAACAGCTGACTGAATTCCAACAACGATGCCCGAAGGACCCGAGTTGCACCTGGCCAGCCTTTTTGTGAACAAAATGTGTGAGGGGGTGCTATTTTCTGGCCCGGTCAGAAAGTCCGAGGTCAGCAAGAGCCCCGACGTGGCATTCGCCTGAATGAATGGAAACTAAATGGCCAAACCTTGACTTCAAATACCAGCATGCATTGCTTCTGACGTCACTCGTGTTTACTTCCCCCTGGTCAATACAATACAGTGCAAGGCTTTTAAACCAATACTTTTAGTTCGAACATAACAGTAGTAAGACATATCTTTAGTGCAGTTTTTTGGGGGACACAAACGCTCTAAAAAGAAGATGGAAATCTTTTCAAAGGACATCTCGCGATATCAAAATGCTCGCTGGCGGTAATGTTACAAAACATGTTTGGTAACAAGCATGCTGTCTAAGAAAAGTGACAAGCGCCATCTCACCCCCTCGAAGCAAAACGCCTGCATAGATAACCTCGCAATTTATGCGAATTACAATTTAAATAAAGTTTAACCAGCAGTAGTGACGTCTTATTTCCTGGTTCGAGGTAAGTCCTTAAAACTCATGCCCTGTTAACGCTTATTCCTCCGTTTCCAAAAAACGATTGAAAAAACGTTACGTTTCACATCTCCCAACACCAGCCAACATGTATGGATATTTTGCATTGTGCCTAATATGCACGTCGGCTAAGAATGAAAGAGTTAAAGCTGAGGATGTACCTGAAAAATTCTTACTGGCGTCGTTGGGAACTCATCTGAAACACAAATGAACAAAAAATGATTCGGTTAAATAACCACACTGTGGCAATTGTGAGCTCCAGAAAAGAACGTTAAAACCAAACTCCAGTAAGTAAAAGCTTACTGCGCACAATCTTATGGCATCACATACAAAATATATTGCAACGTTCAGATTTTCAAAAATAACGATGCTCAATTACTGCTACTTTCAAACTACAATAGTTTGCAACGGTGTGTCCAGACGATGAAGGAAATTTTGTAAAACCCGGCGCTTTATAATTTGTAAAAATACAACTTACTGATTTTCTTTTAGCATTTTTATTTTTGACTCAGTGAGCATAGATATCATTTTAAATACATATACAGTCTTGCAAATTTCTCCTCATTTGGGCATCCACCCTACCACACACCGAGCACCCTTTAAACAGAGTGAGCAGTGCAGTTGCACTGTCGTGCAACATGACTGAGCCACTGTTTGTGTGCAGTTTCATAACAGCTGACTGAATTCCAACAACGATGCCCGAAGGACCCGAGTTGCACCTGGCCAGCCTTTTTGTGAACAAAATGTGTGAGGGGGTGCTATTTTCTGGCCCGGTCAGAAAGTCCGAGGTCAGCAAGAGCCCCGACGTGGCATTCGCCTGCGAGGCGTACCGCATCAGTGCCGCTTCCAGAGGGAAGGAAGTGAAGCTCACGCTGACGCCAATTAAGAGTGATGACACGAAGGCCAAAGAGGCACAGCAGCCCATGGACATTGTGTTTCGCTTTGGCATGTCAGGCTTTTTCCGTTTCACCGCGGAGGGTGAGCTGCCCAAACATGCCCATTTGTGCTTTTATTCGAAAGAAAAGCCTCGCAGAGTGCTCAGCTACGTGGACGCGCGCAGGTTCGGCAGCTGGCAGCCACATGGAACCTGGCAGCCTGACAGAGGGCCTTGCATCATGTTTGAGTACAAAAGCTTCAGGTTACAGACGCTTTTCATTTTGAACAGCCAACCTAAAAATGTCATCGCCTCACTTGACGCATTGGTGATGATTTCACAGGGAAAATGTGGTGACGCACCTGTCTGACCGTGCCTTTGACCGGCCCATCTGTGAAGTCTTGCTCAATCAGAAGTACTTCAATGGCATCGGCAACTATCTCAGGGCGGAGATCCTTTACAGGTGAAGGACAGCCTTTCAAGAAAATACAACAGCGTTGAGTGTATCACCGTAACATAACAATGCATCATACTGACAACTCCCTCTATTATTTTTCACCTGCCATGTATTAGTAATGAGGTAACCATAGAATTAATAAAACATTTATCAAATTGATCATCTTGCATCGAAACCTGTAATTAGCTTGAATACCTTCAGTTTTTGGAAACAAGTGTGTCTGTTGGTAGGTTAAAAATCCCACCCTTTGTGCCTGCCCGCACCGTGCTTGAAGGTCTTGAGTCAGAGGATGCTTGTGAAGACAAGAAGCCTGTGAAGAATGACATTTTGAACCCAAAGGTCACTTTCAGCAGAAACATCCTTTTCTCCCACGCCCGACACCCTCCACCACAAATATATCAACATCTAACAATGTCTCACTGTCTAGGCTGCGAGGACAGCTCAAAAGATTCAAGTGAAAAACGAGAGCGCCGACCTGCTCAGGCTGTGCCACACAGTTCCTCTGGAGGTGATTCATTTAGGTGGGCAAGAATGACATGACGCTGTGATTGAGGTTCATTCCTAGTCAAGATTTAGAGGTTAATCTCCAAGTGAAACAACAAGGCTGTTTTTCTTCAAACGGTAGGTGGGAAAGGCTACGATCCGGAGAAGGCGGACTACTCTGACTTTGAGGCCTGGCTGCAGTGTTACTATGTGGACGGAATGAAGTCCATGCGTGACCACAATGGCAGGACTATGTGGTTCAAAGTAGGTGATTCAGTTCCTATTCTCTGTGATTTTGAGCATGACCGATACAAATTACGAATATCGTAATTCCAGGGCGATCCAGGCCCCATGGCTCCCAAAGGTGAATAACTGACTGACATTAAAAGAAAAAAAAGTCACGGCAGAAACGGCTCCATGTTTGACATTTTCTCATCCACCAGATCCTAAATCACCAAAGGCCAAAAAGAGAATGAAAAAAGAGGACGATCATGATTACACCAGCGTGAAAAAGGTAGAAAACCATCATGTTGGTAACTACTGTCTTTCCTTATAAAATCTAACACCTATATTTTTACTTCGTAGGAGGCCAGGACACAATCCGAAACCACAGGGTCAAAAACAGTCAAAAAGAAAATAAAAGCGGTACAGACAAAAAAGGACGTGCCACAAAAAGAAACCACACCTCGAAAAACTGTAAAATGCTTGAAAATGGACACGCCACAACGTGAACACAAACAACCTGCAAGGAGGAGGAAGACGACAGAGCCAGCAGAAGGTCGAGATTATAAATCTCCAAAGGAGGACATTTTAGAAAGGTTGAAATACTGTCTTGTGAATTTATCATTTTCTTTTTGCAGGTTCTCGGAGGCGGAGCAGTAGACTGACGAGACAAAATGTGAAGTAAAAACAAAAAGGAGGCCGTCACTGGATTTTGAAACACGATTTTTATTTTTTTGTATCTTTTTAATAATAATAATAAAAAATTACAATTCATTCTTGGAATCTTTTTATCACACATTTCAATTCCCAGCTTCATTATGTTGGTCTTCATTATTAATTAATAGTGTCCATTACTTGTTGAGGTAGCCACTTAGCCTTGGCAGAATGTAAAATACAATTGGAGATTTTGAATTGTGGAAGTCATGAGAAATCTGGTATGAGGCATGCATTTTTTTGGGGGGGGGCAACCGTCAAGGCAGCCATCCATTTTCAATCCCGCTTGTTGCTGATGCCCATGCCAGTTGACTTTGGGGCAAGAATTGGGGCACCCACCATAGAGCCAACCGCGGGGCACATTAGAAAAACAACCATTCACATCCATGGACAATTTAGATGTCTTCGTTTGAAACCTGCAAGGCTCATGAGGACGCCTCGGTTAAGAATTGAACCCCCAAGGCCGACAAGATCACCACAAAGCAACCCTGCTGACCTGTCAATTCCAAATAGTACCATCTTTACGATCTTCGTTTTTGGAAGTTTCAATGTATCATCGTATTGATAATTAAGCGGTTTGATCAATGACTTTCCAAATCAACATTATGCATTCACAACAAGCAGAAGTGATCTGACTTGAAAGGGGCTGAAGTCAAGAGTGATTCCATCTTCAGTCACATGTGCTGGCTTAGTAGTGTCAATTTGCTCGAGAAGATTACAACTGAAAGAGAAAACGCCAAATAATTCAACAAATGCACTTTTTAAAAAAAATTATGTATTAAATATAATCGAGAGCCATCAGAGGTCACTTACTGCCAGGCCTCCTTGACCGGAAGCATCACACGGAGGGTTGCGGTCACGCTGCCGCCGTGAGCCTCGTACATTCGGACGACGAGGGCTCCTTTCTGGTCCTCAGCCTGTTAAGTTGAATGACAATCAGCGTGCCCAGCGGTCTCGATTGCTACATGCCAAGTTGAAGATTGGATGGGATACCTGTTTTACGGTCTCGAGGATGACACTGCTTGGGCTGATGGAAAAGGCACTCCATGGGGCAGTGTCTAGGGAACACGACGCTAACCGCAAAGGGAAGTTGAGGTTGTATGCACACTGAATGACTGCGGCATCTTGGAAGGACCCTATAAATTCAAAATATGATCACAATGAAGCTTTAAATAGCCAAAACAAACAAAACCAACACAAAAACATTAACCTGTGTGTGGCATGATCGCATAGGTGAAATGATGTGTGCCCATATCGGCGTTGGCATCCGGTGCTTTTGGTGCCCTCAACCTGAGACAAAGATGTAGAAGCATCAGACTACGATTCATTGTGACGGCACAGAACATCTTTTATCCAAGTTGTGCATGGTCTCACAAAGAGAGGGTCATGGTGTTCTTATGGACCGAATAGCCATATTTGCAGTCATTGAGCAGAGCCACTCCAAAATTGTGCTCTGACAAATCGGCCCATTTGTGGCCCCAAACCTGGGGAGAGAAGGAGCACGTTTCAGCGGAGTTAAATATCACTAATTCTCATATTTTGTCACTCTCCGTTTGTTAATTTGTGATCGGGGAGTGGGATTCAATCTTAATTCATGTAACCAAGTTATGATGTGATGCTGTATACTTCCAATTTAGCAGGAAACAGTTTTCCAGGCCAATTTTTTCTTCCTTTTTTATTTTTATTAATTTTTTTAACTTTTGTCGGTTTAATTATCATATGTCCCAATACTTTTATTCATATTGTGCATTTATGTGCTAAATACTTCAAATTTGGCCCAGTCCCATGATGTATTCCTGTGCGTGGGTCTCTGCAGATGTCCGAACTGGATCTCATATGTAGCGTTGGGGCTTCGCACTCGCACTGGGAATTCAACCTTCAGAAACTTGTGCGACTCAGCCCAGTCCACCTGGGAACAGATACGCAATACCACTTCTAATCTGAAAACACACGGTCAAATTTACAGCATGCCCATAAAGTATCTTTGCAATTTTTAAATTGTATGACCAAAGCAGTTGATGAGATACTTTGATACGATTTGCTCTATGTACTGAGTAGTTATCGGCGTTTTAAATTACATTGCATGTTTGCATTTCAGGTAATCTGTTCATAAAATTTGTTCTGTTAAATAAAACAAAACAAAAAAAATAATAATTCAATGTCCCAAGAAAAGCTACGATACGTCAACAAAATGTGATACCAATTCAGCGCGACTACAGAATTAAATATGAAAGACATCTATTGTCAAATTGTAACAAGTCTTTATGGACGCCCTGTGGAAGTCACTTGACTTTGCTTCGAGTCAACGAGGGCTTTACCTGCGTGTTGAACTTAATATAAGGACACATGGCATCCATCACGATCTCCTGTGTGACTGTGCTCTCGTCGCTGATCCTGAGCGCGAAGCCCACGCTTCCTCTGAGCTCATGTGATGACAGCACATGGGCAGGCCGCAGGACCTCCACCACTGGCTTCCTGTAATGAGTGGGCGCGGCCACAGTTGACTGAGAATGACACAGACGAATGGGTGGAACAGCAATGACTCGCACCTTGTTTGAAGATGATAATCCATTACATCCCAAGCGTCCCAGTACAAGGGGACGTCATCAAACATGACAAACTGATTACCGCCGCAGCCATCCGGAATGGCTTCCCTGCAAGCATACAGCATGGTGAGAAACAGTGATTACCGTATTTTCTGTACTAAAAAGCGCTTCGAAGTATAAGGTGCACCTTCAATGAATGGCCCATTTAAAAAGAGTTTTCAAATATAGGGCGCACCGTATTATAAGGCACATAGAATAGAAGCTACAATAGTGGCTGCGGTTGCGTTATGTATCCACTAGATGGAGCTATGCAAAAGGAATACAATACAATACAGCTTTATTTATAAAGAGCTTTTATAACAGCTGCAGCTGTAACAAAGCACTTTACAGAACATTTAAAATACTACGTCCAAGAAATCAAAGTATTGATCCATACATAAGGCGCATCGGATTATGAGGCGCACTGCCGGCTGTATTGAAAATGGAATGCTTTTAGGTGCGCCTTATAGTGCGTAAAATACTGTGATTTAGATGAAAGAAACAGTTATTTGCTCAATGGACCCCCCACAGATGGACATGTAATTTACTTTTGCTGTGTGGTAAACAGCGATGGAAAAAACAACACATAGTTTGCAGCTATTCAAATTTCGAATGATGCCAAGAAATATGCATTCATCAGTTATAAAGCTAGTCAGAAGCTGAAGATGTGTGCTAAAGACATACCCGTATGCAAGTGTGATGACAGTACAGTAAGTAAGGTTCACATCGCCGTTCGAGACGATGACAGAAAATGTGGTGATTCATATTATTCATCACGACATGAGTGAACGCACTTTCTCTTTGCTTCTAGTCTTCTGTGTGACCTTTGTGTGATCTTTCAGTCATCAGCCGTACAATAGGCACCGTGTTCTGCTTGCACGTCAACAAATTAACAGAAGGAACTCTTCTGTGCTAACGAGCATGAGATTAGTTTTAGGGAGGTGTAGGAGCTGTCTTCCTTGACCATGAAGCACAACTGATAAGAAACAAGGACAACCTTGAAGGACGAGTGTTTCTCTTCTCAAGTCATCAAATAGGAAGGCACACGCGCCATTCTTAAGATAAGAAAACCTTTATTCGTCTTGCAATGGAGAAATTCCCAATTCACAGCAGCGAATTAAAGAACAGTATAAGACTATGTAGACTCTTGCTCATTGCCACATAACTGCTTGACACTTGAGTCTGTTCAGTTTTTCTTATTGTTTTGCTGCACAAAATAAATGCCCCCCCCAAAAAAAACCAACAAGAAAAACAAAGACAAGTCTTTGCTTTGTGATACTGAGAGAATTTCTCCTTGCATAAAATATATAAATCATATTTTACATCATTACATTAACAACATTGAGGCTCCTCTGCCATTCTGTGTACCGTGAAAAAAAGTCATGCTTTCTTATTTTTACGTGACATTACTTCAGGTGCCTTCTTTAATGGGAAGATATCACCACAATACCTGTTTCCAGAGATCAAACACAATGATGTCAATGTGCCGTCTTTATTCACGACAGCTCGTACGATCCCGTTTTCCATCAGGACACTGCCGTCAGCCTGCAATGTTACACACCAATTTCATTTGGCAAATTCACCCGTCCATTTTCTATCCCACTACTTCTTACTACCATTGCAGGTAACTTTGTGCGCAAAGCGGGGTACACCGTTGTAGACAATTTGCCAGCCAATGCAAACTCCACACAAGAAAGCAGGAGCCGAAATTTGAACCCTGAACTTTCTTCACTTCGCCCACCAATATTATATATATATATATATATATATATATACACACACACACACACATACATACATACATACATACATACATACATATATACACAGTATATAAAATCCTTTCCATGTTCATAACAGATTATAATCCATGAATTTGACAATTCCGTGAATTTACTGTGCCTGTCAGAGGACTGACAAAAATAAAATGGCTGGGTGAGAGTTCCCATCTTTGAGCTCAGCAATGTTGAGAAGATCATTACTAAGTTTGCAAAAAAATAAATAAATATCAGAAGACGTATTGACAAAGAACGGTACATTAACTCATTTGAATTTTCTCAGTCATTCCCAATGTGCTTTGGTTCTTCTTTGGAATACACAACAGCAATAAGTGATCAGTTCAGCACGCCACACTTGACAAGAAACATCTTTACAGTGGAAATCTGTGCAGCAAATAAAATGAAATATACCTGGACAGCGACACAGACTGGAGTCACAGGCTTTGTGTCTTGAACAGGAGCGACACCGATGCTCGGAACTCTCACCAGAGCTGTTGTGCAACAGACGAAAGTGAACGTAAGACACGCAATCATAATGAATAAATAAAAAAAGAGCATTGATGTAGAATGGTATCAAACATACCTAAATCGTGTTTACTGGGGCCATCTTGTATCTGGAGGACTTCAAGTCGCTCCCACGGCAGAGAGTTGAAGACTCCTGTGGCCTCGCCCTTTGACATGAGGCCTCCCAGACCATCTTGCAGGAGAGCAGCACCGGCTCTCTTGATATCTAAGAGACACATCGTATGAGAGTGTGAAAACCTGATTAAGGAGCAATTTATTTACTTCCAACAGCTTTATTGATACAAACCAACAATTAAAGGACACAAATACAAATCTGTGAAGTGAGGCCCATTCCAAGAGGCAATTGTCTGTTGTTGTCTTATGCAATGTGTCGAGTTACACCAATATACGAGCTTTTTAAAAACTAAATGCAAAACACACGACATAATTGAGAAAACAAACAATCCTTTTACTCGGCATACCTTCATAATACCTCAGTGCATCCTCCACAACCATCTCGATACAGCTGCCTGGGATGACATCATGGAACTGGTTCAGTAGCAGAAGCCTGCCATGCAAGGGGGATGTCAATCAAAACGCTCCTCTGTAGCATAACAACAACAGCTGTCATCTATATAGTCAGGTTGAATTCGTGACCCCTGACCTCCAGAGCTCCCGCAGCTTCAACACGGGATATTGAAAAGTTTGATCACGACACATTGCCAAGCTGCTAGCCATCTCAACATCATGCAGGAGCGTTTCACACTGGCGGTTGCCACACTTGATCTGGTCAAAATGAGACGTTTTTTTAATTTAGTTGGAGAAGCTGCCGATTTTAACGTGATGGAGGAATCACACGTGTGTTCACCTGTGCTTGCGTGGTGTACGTGCCATTGTGCAGCTCCAGGAAAAGTTCGCCAGTCCAAGTGCAGAGCAGATGTGAGTCTGCCCAAAGCTGAGAAAAGAGCTTGTCAGGACCGCACATGTGAACCCTGTCAGGCAGGAAGCAGTGATGGAAATAAATAGTGGCACGTCAGGGGGTGATTTCAAACAATTCCGTGACATCAATAGAAATGAATCTTTTGTATTCCAGCAAAAAAAAAAAAAAAAGAACAAAAAAAACGGTGACTTGTTTTTTGTGGCGAGGTTTGGGCTGAGCAGTCCCATTGGTGAACTGCTGAGTTCATGTTCAGGAAAAAGGAACTGACTTGGGAAGTCCATCTGTGTCCTGGACCCGTCTGAGCCTATCCAGCATTAACTGTGTGGGGCCGCCGCCCCCGTCACCAAATCCAAATAACACGGCGCTGTGGTTGGCTCTGCCTTTGTCCTTGTTTTGCTTGACGGTTTTTACAAGCTGTGGACAGAATAGAAACCCCCCAAAGGAACATAGTAAGGTTTGGGAAATATGTTACGAAAGTCCTTCTCAGACTAAACAAAAAGATGCTGAATTTACTCACATCTTCCACCTTGCCCTTCATTTCATATGAATTTCCAGGTGGGAAGTGAGTCAAGACCTTGGAACCATCAAGTCCTTCCCAGAAAAATGTGCTATGCTTTAGAAAATAAGAAATTATAAACTGCATTGTTTTCCTCTTCAACTTTTATTTTTGCATATTGCAATGCCCAGGTCACAACTTACAGGAAAGGTGTTCACGAGGTTCCAACTGAGTTTCTGTGTTAAAAAATTGGAAATTCCACAACCCTGCATGATCTGAGGGAGTTGGGCCGAGTAGCCAAATGTATCTGGAAGCCAGAACTAAATCATACGGAGAAAAGTCATGAGAAACAAGAGCAAAGACTAAAGCCGATATTAGTGAGCTCAACTCCCTACCTCTTTGCACCTCTTTCCAAATTCTTGCTCAAAATAACGCTGGCCCTGCAGGAACTGCCTTACCATGGATTCTCCTGAGGGGAGATTGCCATCCTGACAGACAACACTCAATTAGATCATTCTCGTAAAATGCATGATGGTTCACCTCGAAAATCGGGCTTTCACCATCTCCACCCACGTCCCTCCAACCGGAACGAACTGCCCCGTCTTGACGTAACGTTGAATCTCTGAGAAGAGTCCTGGGTACCAACTCTTGACCCACTCAAACTGCTGGGCCTGGTGCACAGTAAAAGTGCTTGAACTAAAACGGATTCCCTGCATCTGCATGCATTGATCAGAGAACGTGTGCTCGTTTTTTGCTGAGGAATTACCTGAGAACAGGTAAAGACAAACTCCGGGTTCTTTTCCATGAGACGGATCGCGGTCACCCAGCTTCGACCGCATTTGCGAATGGTTTCTTCATAAGGCCACAGCCAAGCTATAGAGAGAGTCCAAGAGAATCAATCTGATGGACGAATCACCGTTACAAAAGTCATATTTTTCCATTGACGCTATCAGAGGTCGTTCTTTAATGTTACCGTTGTGGTTGCGGTTTTCAGTCGTACTTAGTCCACGCCTGCTCTAAATTGTTCCCAAGTGTGAATGTGAGTATAACTGGATATTTCTCAAGACGAAGCTCATCAGTGCTCCTTTTGGGGATGTAAATAGTAAACACTTGTTCTTAGCACCACATGCTAGACGAGCAAAATGTCACACATTAGTTGCCAGCTGTTGCGGCTTCCACTTTATCTTCTTCTACTTTGTTTTAGCAGTTGGCAAATACTCTTGATGCATTACCGCCACGTATTTGCCAACTGCCAAAAAAAAAAAAAAAGTCAACATGAGTTCTGTCTGGGGAGTTTGGGTGCCAGTTCAAGCTTGAATTTTAATATATACAAGTCGCATCTGAGCATAAGTTCCAGCCATACCATGGAAAAAGTGTGGTTTGTAATCCAAAAAATATGGGAATAAAAATGTCATTTAAACGTGATACCTGAATCTATGTGGCAGTGGCCCATGGCATGCACAGTATGTTGGCTTTGGCCATTGCGCTGACTGAAGAACTTGTGAGCCAGAGTGCGTGCCTTGTCAAAGGAGTTGGGATCAGCCGGGTTGCTCACGTTAACCATTTCATTGACAGTGAAGAGCGCTTGGAAGCTCCGCTGCTCGCTCTCACCCAGTTCCTTTCCAAAAACAAACAAAACAAAAATACAGACAAAAAAAAAAGAAAAAAAGAAAAAAGTGAATTGTTTACATTTGGCTTTTTGGACTGACTTTTTTGCTTTCAAAGAAAAATGACTGTACCTTGACGATGTCAATCAGCATCTCAAAATCAGTCAGCAGTTCCCTCACATCTCTGTTAAATACCACGAGCTCCGCCTTCCGCACCGTGAAAGTCTTGTTCGGATCTGGAGCTGCAATCATTGAGCCTTGACCGGCTCCAAAAAGGCCATTACAGGCCAGCTCCACATAGATGTCCAGTCTGAAAGAAACAGAGGGGGGGCACAACAAAAGTTTAACAAGCAATGTCACCTGTGGGATGGTTAATTTAAGATATCACTTGATATGGGGTGTCTGTGTTTAAGACACTGTGCTGAATGTAAGGTATGACTGGTTAAACCCAAGGCAAAAACAAAATTATCATTATTATTTTTCTTTTTTGTCTCGAAGCATCCAAGTGTTTTTATTTACTGTGCCTATGAGTGTAGTGACCCAACACTGGACTCTACGAACCACAAAAACAAAAGGAACAACAACAAAAAAACATCTTCATTTTTTTGCTGTCTTAATTATAGGAGGCATGATGCAACAAATTGTCACTCTTAAAATAATGACCTTTGTCAAATTTTGGGTTTTTTTTTTTGCCTTAAACATCTCGTCAGAATGCGGGACACCTCTGCTAAAATTGGTTGCATTCTTAGTTTACCAGATCGTTCAACTCTAGGCCTGAAATGAAATTAGGCAGTTACACAACAATGGTGCAGAAGTGCAGAGCAGCTCGCTCACAGACACGTTTTTTGAAAAAGGAAGATGACTCAGGATTTATGTGGTTGTTTGATATATAGGGGAAAAAAGGGGGGAGACAAGCTCTCCAGAGACACAACTATTTGTACACAAGCAAAAATGGTTTGTTTTCCACTGTTCCCATCAGGTCAATCACCATCACCACCCAAAAACTAATCAGCTTTTTGGCTTACATATTGCACCAGCAAGAATACATTCAGGATTTTTTCCCCAAAACTTTAGCTTCTATTAACAACTGACCTGTGTGTCTCCTCCTCTGTGAGACAGTCAGAAAGGATGTAACTTGTCTTTTCACCTTCTTTCGTCAGACCCTGGGGACCAACAACAAAGGAAAACACTTCAGTATTCATAAAAATAATCTAAGAACCTCACAATCTTCTTTACCTGAACTGGCTGCCCATCCCTCCAGACCATCGCCTCTCCATCACTGTCCCACAGAAGATGGACCTCTTTTCCTCTCCAGGAAACAGGGATTTTCAAGGCTGCTTTAAACCAACACGTCCACCATCTAAAAATAAACTTGATTGTGTTACCCTGGACTTGGGCGAGCAGAAACACTTTGCCCCGAAAAGAAGTGGCAAAATACTCACGTTGGTCCAAAACTATCACCAAGTTTATAAGGGCTGAAGCTCTGCGTTTGCGCTTCTGAGAATGTTATCCGTTTGGAGGACATAAACGAGCCGAGAGATTCCAGCGGGTGAGAGTCTCCATATAGCCTGCGCGAAGATTAGCAGTAGTATTATTTAAGCATCCGTATTCAAAGAGGTAACGACGGGGAGAGTTATTGTAGTTTTTACAGTACGTATCCCTACCGTCCTCGCAGGTTGCAGTCTGTGAAATAAAGATCAGAAACGAACTTCTCGGCCCTCTCCAACAGCGTGCGCCGGTTCTTCAACACGGGTTGGTGGTACATAGTAAACGTGTTGACATTTAGAATGTCGTAACAAATGGTGGTTTTCAAGCTCTATTAATGGGCAAAGGTAGCTTTGACGTGACCCGGAAATAGAATTCAGGGATGTGTTTTACCCTTTTGGCCACTAGATGGCTGTACGTGAAAGTAGAAATTACAAGTTACAAATACTGTACCCGTGGAACATAGGATCATATATGTTCATAGTCAAAGTAGATAACAATATTTACATACGAATAAAATAAGCATACAAAAGTGGAAGACACTCGGCTTGTATGAAAAAAAACAATCAGAAGATAGCTTAAAAACGGATTTTAAATGTTATCAATATGGTAAAAAGTGATGAAGCTATGATATTTTAATGACTTCAGAAGGCGGTCAAAAATGACCTCTTTTTCAAAACAACAGAATCATGGCCTCAGTAGTGTTGCGGGTGAGCTTGAGCTGATCCCTGCTGACTTGGGGCGAGAGGTGGGGTGCACCCCAGATTGGTCGGCATATTTATTGACCATTTTATGAAATCCGTTGAGCAGTCTGTTTCGAACTATCAAAGACCGGCAATGCCAGTTCAAAGTCACTTATTTGAACTTTCTTGTCCATTGGAATGCTGAGGTTGAACTATAATGTGTCATTTTGACCACACGCACATGTCTCATTGCATTAAGTATTTCCTTGTGATTGGCTGATCAGAAGTGTACTGTACAGTGAACCGCCGTTTATCATAGGGGAATACCTTTGGGGGAGAAACACTTCCTCCCACACACTATGAACACACCTAGAGCTCATAAAACACACATTTAAAAGTATTCCTTGAGCACCAGTTCTCACTTGCAGTTCTCCAAATAAGAGGCAAAAGCATGTTTGCTTCAACCTGTGTACCGTAGCTCTTTGTTGCTCCGCTTTAATGTTAACTGCAAATCTCACACACAAAAGAAAAGAGAAATAAGCATTCCAGATTGAAAATCCCAAAATCTTCATCCAAATCATCTAATCCCATCGAAGGAAAGTCAGCTAGCCAACATATAATAATATGAAACACGTTAGACTGCCTAACAGAAATTAACTTAGATGTCACACTTTATAAGCCTTCAAACAACTGCATCATTAAGACAGCGCCGCAACACAAATAGGGCGTACAGCAATACACTCAGACCAATCATCTGTCTCTTCTTTGGAAAACAATGATGAATATCGGTGTGACGCATTTGCTTAAAAATCCACAATGAACCTTTTATTGCAGTCGTATGTCACTGTTTATCTAGAAGAGCGCACATTGACAACCCGGCCACAGCATGCAGACTGTCAGGGAGGCTCAAAGCGGCAATGATGACATTATGAAGGGCCAACACTGTGAATCCACTCTGCATTTAAGCCGGGCCGGCGTGCGATTGTAAAAGCAAATAAAACATCAGAGGAAAAGGTCAAAACATTTATCCCACAAAAGCTCATAACGGATTGCAATAAACATTTGTGAACCTGAAGCTTGGAAATGGCAGCTTACAATGCGGTGAAAAGAACGTTTATAAAGATGATGAAGTTATACCAGTCAGGCAGGCATGTGATACCATGCCGCAGAGTGCTGGGAAGCCAACGGGGGCTCGGGGTCATCTTAAAGCTTTCTCGGCAATATTCACAGGGAAGGATGTGTTCGTTGCAGTGTTTCTGTGAGGCCAAGAACCCTTTTATTATGATATCATGGAGCAGCTCTAAGTACAGGCTTGGTGCAAATGCGGGTGAGCCCATCCTTCTCATGCCACCCTACCATCAAGGATGCCCGTAAGACTCCTATCCCCTCATTGTTTGGACTGTGGTCTGCGAGGCGCAGTTCCAATGAGGCAGGAAGGCCCGAGAGAACGGATGACACAGTCCTGAAGTGAACCGGGACTTTCAGCAGTGCAGCGCTGACCTTGAGCAGATCAGCGCATCGCTGTCTGTTTTGTAAGCGGGATGGGCTGAAGCATTGATCCCCAAAACTTCCCACCCTCATGGGATCAAGAATGAATTGAACCACAACTGCCCGAAAACCACAAATGAGGAGCCGAGAGGCGATAGAATTTAAATTGAGGGCAACCCTGGAAGTAGTCGTTGCATTTCAGAGGGTTACCAAACATTTCAGGGGAAAACACCACGCCGAATTAGTAACACCAGAAACCCAGAGTTCAAACTGCGACACGTCAACTCAGTGAGTATCTACAATTTTTTCCAAAATGCAAGGAGTGCCATGTAACATCAACACAGGGCATCCTTGGTTATTGTCTAACATTGCTTGACAGCGGCATCACTCAGTGCAAGATTGTATGCTCAGGTATAGCCACATATCTTGCACAGGGGTGTCCAAACCCGGTCCTCGAGGGCCACTGTCCTGCATGTTTCATAAGTCTCCCTACTCCAACACACCCGATGCAAATGATTAGGATCATCATTGGGGTTTTTCAGAGCTTGCCAATGAGCTGGTCACAATATCATCATCAATAATAAAAACACACAGGACAGAGACCCTGAAGGACCGGAGCTGGACATGCCTGATCTAAGGGCAGAACTAATACTATACAACTTAAATTTAATTAAAAAAAAAAAAAAAGACTGAACTTTCAACCCCCAAAAAGCAACTAAGAACGAGGACATCGATCGACAGTGTTTCCTCTGTTGATTTACAACATATACTTTGGAAATCCCTGTGGGTAGTAACACGTACTCTTTGCACTTGGTCTCAATCTTCCGGTTTCCTGTGAGCTGTGTCTATATAGAGAACATCGAGCAATATGGAAATGAGCGCGTGCCTGAAGGACCGGAGCTGGACATGCCTGATCTAAGGGCAGAACAAATACTATACAACTTAAATTTAATTAAAAAAAAAAAAAAGACTGAACTTTCAACCCCCAAAAAGCAACTAAGAACGAGGACATCGATCGACAGTGTTTCCTCTGTTGATTTACAACATATACTTTGGAAATCCCTGTGGGTAGTAACACGTACTCTTTGCACTTGGTCTCAATCTTCCGGTTTCCTGTGAGCTGTGTCTATATAGAGAACATCGAGCAATATGGAAATGAGCGCGTGCGCGTCAATGATGTAATACGCGCTACTCAAAGAGGTATGAACAGAAAATGACTCTGTACGCTCAGTAGCTCCATTGCAGGTACAAAATGAGTTATTACCATCATCAAATGAATTCATATGCCTTGAATGAACTGAGATTACAAATTGGCCCCTTTTTTAAAAAAAATCATGTTAACATTTTAATGACCTCTGAATTGTAATGTACTCAAACTAATATATTTATTGGGCATTTTTAGCTGCACTATCAAACAGGTTCCAAACGAAGAGCAAAAATATCCCGATATAAAGACAGAAAATGACATTTTAGAGTTTGTTTGTTTTTTAATCTAAAATTAAGACAGTTTTTCTTAATGTAAAATGAAGACCATTTGCAATCTAGATTATTTTTTAAAAACAGTTTATTTAAAGCTTTTCAAAGAAAATAGGCAGGCAGGGATCCAAAGTCCATACCTTATTTTGCATAATTTCAAAACACAAATTTGATAGAAACAATCTTTGCCGTATTGACAGGCCAATGCGGCTGTCAATAATGTTGGTACGCAGGCAAGTGTGAACTGAATCACAGTTATGATAATAGATAGTGTACACACACTCAAATGAATAATTTAATTTGAATAACATGAGTTGGAATTCACAAAGTTTAGCAGAAGATGACAGGTCAAAGAATGCGGAGCGCGGCTAAAATTCTACTTGTACTACGCTAGACACACATGACGCTGACGTGTGCTACAGAAAGCGACTCGACTATGTGAGGAAATCTCTCTAGTCCTCCCACTCCATTTGCCTAAGCCAAGGATGCATTGTGTAACGATCAAGGTACGGGTCAAGCAGGAAGAAATCCTCGTATTCGTTCCCCAGGGGCCGTCCACTGAGGATGTACTTGATGGTTGCGGGAGCGAGGTCTGCCTTGCAGGCCAGGTAGCTGTTGAGGTTGAGCTTTGGGAGAACAGCATCAGCCAAAGTAACAGCCAGGCTCTTGGTGGTGGTGGACTGTTGGATCTCCAGGGACTTCTGCTGCAGCAATGAGCCAAAGGCCACTGTCGGCTGAGAGATCTCTTTCAACATGGACAGCCATTTGGATGACACACTGGCTGACGATGTAAATCCATGGATGGGTTGCTTCAATTCGGCTTGCGCATACTGCTGGTAGAGCAACTTGGTGGCACTTGCAGATAGGAGCCCGCTTTCAATGACCTCCTCTAAATCACCAACCAATAATTGCCGAACGATCGCCTTCCGTTTGAGGACGCACGTGGTTGACATATAGGTCGTCACTCCTGTATTAGACACGGCGCCGGTCACATTTTGTTGTACATCCAGGGACAGGTGAGATTTTTGTGTGTGTGTGGCGGGGCATGGCATCATGCACAGCCAAAAGCACAGCAGTCAGGAAAGCAAGTAGCCTATCAATGCATTCCGCGCCACCATGCTAGCCATTTAAAAAGCGGGACACCTTCAGGATAAATGTTATGGCGACAGCCCCGAATACCGGCGCAATGGTTAACTGCATCCTAAACCCAGCAGCTGATCCCAAGCCAGACAAAAGTCAATAGCATTGAAGCTGATATGAGATTGCGTTTACAGCCATGCGGCGTTCATGGAAAGCAATTTTACCTAGCTTGAAGGAACTCAGGACAACGCGGTTCTCAATAGGGAGTGGCTTCCTGAAGTTGTTGATGAGCGGCACGGCGATGGCTTGGTTTGCCGAGGAGGCGAAGAGGGTTGTCGTCAAAGTGTCGTACTGCAAACGTGAGAGAGACAAAGAAATGTTAAATTGAAGTGTTCAGACGGCCGATTTGTACAGAAGGGTAAATAAGTCACCTGAGCTTGAGAGACAGTGATAGGATTCTTGAACACTGTCCACTGCACACTTTGATAGCAAGGCGGTGTCGTCAGAGAACCGTCGTAACGGAAATACTCATCCAGACGCTGAGGCATCAGCGTTCTGATGTCAAAAGCCGGAATGTTGTGGCTGTTTGCTATGATTAAAAGGAGAGGTCATTCCTATGCGCTCCACATAAACACCCGTGACAAAGCAAACCGTGTTTGACTCACATTTCTTGGGGATTTGAGTGAGATATGAAAAAATGTTGTCATAGCCTGGACTGAAGGCCCCAATCTGTAAGAAAGAGTAAGATGCTCACACGGTCAGATCTTCAGAGTCAATCCCAAGAAAAAAGGTCTAAAGCTCGTCACCTCGATGAAGACCCCCAGTACAGCCAGACCGTCAGATTTGTCAAAAGCCATGGATACATTGGGGTATTTTTCTGAATTGTAGTGTACAATGTGCAGCTGTAAGAGAGGAGAGAAATGGGCTATGATGAAAAATATTTTTTTGCATTTTGTTCTGCTTACCCAGGTCGCGGGGCAGCAACCTGAGTAGAACACCAAAGTCACTCCTGCATGACCGGTCACCTGAGGTCGCCTCCCAGACGACCTCGCCAGGGAAGGCTTCCAAAACAAACTCTGAATCCGTAAACGTCACCTTCCACTCTCCCTGACTTCAGTGATCCCACAGTTTGATGAAACCCAGGAATAGACCATCCAAAAATAGCACAAATGACTTTTTCAGGCTACCAAACCTGACATTGTTGGGCAACAATATTCTATTTTTTGTGATGCGCCGTAGTCATGCTCGTCTTTTCTATCAAATAGCAGAATTATATGCCAATTTCTGGGAATCAAAGAGTCCATGAGTCCGAAAACAACATGTCATCAAAGTGTGGTTGTGGATTTTGGAGTGACTTGAAAGGACATATTGAAGACTGCGTCCCTGTGTCCACTGAGACATAGACCACAACACCTTCCTTAGATGTGGCTCTGCAGGCGCTGGCACACAGCCTTGTGGTGGCACAGGTAAAAAAATAAATAAAAAAAGCTCAAGTCATTTCTGCGTCAGACAGTTAACGCATTTTTGGTACACATGTTTTGTACATTATGTGAGGCCGTCTGTTGTCAAATTGTGTACAATAATGTTTGGGTATGTTCCTCCAGGGCTCGCTGGGTACAAATGTGAACTGTGGAATGTGGGTGAAAATAAAGCTTGGAAGGCTTTACTGAGCACAGTTGTAAATACAGTACGCGGGACAATTCTCAAGGGGACTGAAAGTGATGGTACAAGCAGGTTCTCATTTCTGAACATGACTGAAACTTTTCTTTTAACTTCCTAAGACTCGAAGTGGAACATGCATGGGTTTTATTTTTATTTTATTTTTTTAAATATTGAAACGATGAGATGAGTTGGGTCAAATCTTGCAAAGGCAGAACTAATTGGTTCTGCAGTTCAGGATCATCTGCCTGTCGAGTTTTACATGTTACCCATCAAGTGAGACTTGTGCATAGATGCGATTGGTGCATTTGCATTCGATGCCAGTGAGTTTTTGTTTACCTCTGCTGCATACCGCTTACTGTCAACCGTGTGCTCAGAACCAAGAGGACTGGTTTTGGAGCCCCAGTGAATGTGGAGCTGAGCTGCAGTGTAGCGTTGAGGGAGGCCGGAGATAGTCATCGTTGAGGGAAGAACTACTTGGACTGTGGAGCAGATGACACAAAAGCCAGTTATTTCTTTCATTATCCGTGAATCATGAAGCATTAAGTGAAACTCTTCAATGCACTAATGAGAGCATAGATTGCCACAGAAGTTGATTTGGGAGCTAAAGCAGAAAATAATGTGGGCTCGTTGTGTTTGTTTGTCCATTGTGTGTTAATTGCCAAATTCAGAGTGGCTAAGGGGATTAAATGGAGCGGTTCTAAAATGCTTCGAATCTGGTCGAATGGCCATGACGTGGGGTCCCCTCAAGGGTCAATCTTTGGACCCCTTTTGTTCAGCCTGTATGTTACCCTTTGGTCAACGGCTTTAGAATACCATGTTTATGAAAGTCCCCAAATGACAGCAGTTCTATGAATGTGTGGCATCACTGTCGAAAGCAAATTTACTACTGAATGAACCAAAATTGTATTCAGCCAAATCTATACAAAACTAAATTTTTTTAGCAATGAAGAAAAGAGGATTGCTATTAAAAAAAACTTGGAGTCACTGTTTTTAGAAACCAAAGACCAAGTCAGAACTCTTGAGGTGCCTGACTTTCAGCAGTCATATCAAATCAATCATAGAAATTGCCTTTTACCAGCCGAAAAACAAATCCAAGGTGAAAGGCTGCATGCTCCAGGCAGACAAGGCAAAGCTTCTCCATGCTTTTATCTCCAGTAGACTTGACTTGTAGTTGAGCGAACCAACTCTGGTTGCTGATGTGAAGATTAACCAGACCAACTGCAGTGTTGGCATAGTTAGTAAGTAATTTTTGCTCTTATTTCCCAAAATAAATATGGGACTCTTTCATTTTGGTGAAATGACTGCGAGAAGAGTTAAAAGTGGTAGATGTAAAAAAAAAAAAAAAACAAACGGATTTTCGTATGCGTCATTTATGGTGATTATGTTCACATCACGTTCATGTACTTTTTAATTTATTTCTGGTGCCCATCCAAAAATAAGTGTAATGTTGGCGCACATTACCTATATTGAACTGGGTTTAGAGAAAGACTTACCAAGCGCACAGTTGGGACACAAAACTGTAAGGCATGTTTGTTTTAGTACATCCTTGTACTCTGTGTTTTGTTTAATTGATTTATGTGCACTGTATACTGTATGTCTATGTTTTGGCAACATGTAAAACTGTATATTTGAGTATGTTTGGGTCCCGGGGAGGAAACACAATTCTAATTTGGATCTACAAATGATAAGGTTTGGAAAAACCTGCTTTGGGAGACTACGCCATCCCCCAAAATGCATTTCAACGTGGATTAAATACTCACATGAATGTCCGCTGTTTGTCAGATTCAGATTACGTCCGCCCGTCAGATCATAGTTCTCAAGCACAATTGGGCGTAAGGATGCATCAAAGATCAGCTTCGCTGTCTTGAAGGCAATTGGAGACTGCAAAGGCCCAGCACAGTAGGGAAAGTGTTGGTTCCAGTGGCTTTCTCCATCTCGGCCTGTAAATAGAATCAATATAAATCCATCCATGCATTCTTCCAATTTCTATACAACCCGGCTGAACCCAACTGACTTTAGGTGCGAGTAAATCACAGGGCGATTTGGAATGAGCTGGAACTGATCCCATGCCAGCTGCAAGAAGGTCAGCTATGTGAACAAATGGCCTCCGTCAAAGGCATTTTGACATAAATCTGTATTTCAACCCAAATGTAATTTGAGCCCGAGCTAAAACGGCTTGTCTTGAAATGACTGTGTTTCTTCTTGCATGAATTCCATTTTGGGAGTGGCCTTCGTGTGTCCAAATAATCACCAATTTTGGGAAGTGCATGTAAGCTGGTGAAACAATGTAGTTCAGTTGAACCTCAACGAACCCCTCCACCCCCACAAAAAGTATGAATACTTACCAGTAAATAGTGATGATCTCGTATTAATATACTCACAAATGGACTTACTCGGTATGAAATGTGGGCCTGTTTAACCCTTTCATGCACCCTGTAACCCGATAACATGATGAGCTGTCCACTGTATTAACCGCTGCCTCTTAAGGGGTTAGTTGAGCACAAAGCTGATATTTCCGTAGGAAGCCATGACTTAGAATATTTTTTGAACGGCAAAGTGGATACACGGGGTTTATTATATCGTCTTCCATCTAACACAAAAGCATTTCGTTTTTCTGCCTGTCACGATATGTCACTGACATGGATAATTTTCCCCCTGCGTGATGATTTCTCACAGCACGCTCGAGTGTCATGCCAGACCCGTTTGGGAATCACAGCTCGGAGCTAAGCACCAGTTGCAGCGATGCACGATTCCAAATAAGGTTCTTGATGAAAGGGAAACGGAGTAAATATATGTCACAATGTTGCATGAATGATGGCCTACTAAATACTGCGTCGATAATCAACATTACCAACTGAATGCGAAAAAGCTTCATTGTGTGAACACGAGGACCAGGCTGTCGTGTGACAACCCTGTCCAAATGAGAGGTTTCTACCCAAAAAAAAAAAAAGCAAAGAATGGCTCCAAAAAAATCAAGTTGTGCCTTTCACAAGATGAGCTCCGCGGCTTCGCAGTGTCTCTCAACATCAAGTGGAAAAAAAGGCGTGACAAGAAGACAGACACGGGAATTCAAATGTACGTGGAATGAAAGTCACGCTTGTGAACCCGACGACCGTGTCTCCAAATTGAAGCGTCATGTTTCGTTTTCAGTGAAGCTATTTGTTCCAGATGAATTCACCCCCCCCAAAATGCCTTGTGCCCACTTTTGTGCCCACTTTAGAGATGACTGAAGCACCATGAAATGATGCAATTCTGATTCTATAAAATGACACAATCAACCGATATGTGCAGTGCGAAAGACAAGAATCACTGACATCTTTGCCTTGGACCTCAAGTTTTGATCGGGGGCGGTCGATGAGTCAACTGTGCACTTGTCATGTGGCCTCCATTTGGCCAGAGTCTTGACCACTAAAATGACCCTTTGAATGCTTTCAGCCTATAACTGAGGGAGAACTCTTTCTTTTTCTTGACCATTTTTTCCCAAGCGTACATGACGCAAGATGGTTTCAAAGGGCTTCAATTGAATGTCTTGATTGTTCCTAATTCGTAGGTACACTAACTGCAGATGTGTGATTAGTAGCACTGCGTAAGGACTCATCCGCTCTTATTAATGCCAAACCACAGCTGTGATTAAAACAGGGACCATCAGATCTCCTAATTATAAGATTGACTCTCGTTGGCACATGAATAACGGTGTAGGAAATAAATTGAACAAAAAACATTGAAACAATACAATACTAATGACTATTTCTGAAGTAGTATGGATGAAACAAGCCAGAAAAATATGTAGAATAAACTTCAGATTGGGTCACTAAATGTAACATTGGGTTCAACTTTTGAGAAGCAGAGCCACAATAATCCAAGGTCAGGATACGAGAAAGGCCAATATTGTATTATGGAGGATAAAGAAAATGCACTTTTTTTTTGGCTGATATTAATTTCACAATAATAATTATTAAAGCAATTTATGGTACATAATGACTGGATATCCATTTATTTCCACCTACGACTTAAGTCAGATAATAACCTTTGCACAAATGAAACTGAACCCTTCACCAGGTACTGTATAACATGTAGAATTTATTTTAGAAGAACAATGAAGAAAAAGTTAAAAAAAAAATCTGATAATCAGACTTACTGGTATAGCCCCAATTGGTCCCTGAAACAGACAAATAGATTGCATTGTAAATTAATATGCAATTAGGGGAACACAGGTTAATTTTTAAAGGTTCAAAAGAAAAAACAGTCACTCAAAATCCAAATCACCAGCAAAAAAAAAAAAAAAAAAAAGGCATTTATTGGACAGTCATAATAAAGTTGTCCCTGAAAGCATCTTACCATAAACCACGGCCACTTGCAGTAAAAGAGCGAATGGTGTGAGGCTCAAAGGCAGCATGGTGGTGTCCTCTGGCTTTTGTGGATCGGTCCGTGCAGCAAACCACAAGCCTCCACACCGCTTTTAAGCGCACGTTGTCTCTCATTGTAGCCTTTATTGACGTCACAGTCACAACAACACCAGCCCACTGTGTCTTCTTCTCAACGCGCTCTGTGACAAGTCCACTGCTTCCACGCAATTTCAAGTCAAGTGCCTCTGGCCAAGTGTGCGCTTGCATGAGTGTGTGTTTGCAGTTTCTTCTCTTCTTGACTTAACTTCATCTATTTCTACTTGATTGACAGGCTTGATTTCTGTCAAGCACAGATAGTCTTCTGACATTGTGAAAACGTTGTGTTACACTCGTGCACACTTAAGTCTGTCCGTATTGGCAGAAACAAAAAGATGATTTCCAAGTTAGAATTTAAAATTAAATAAATATTCAGGCTCCAAAATGCCATTACTGCAGAAACAAACTTGCCGCCATTTTGTTTTATCCCCTTTCACTTCATTACTTCACTTGTAACCGCATCCAGATAAGTCAATCTTATCTGAGATCACTTCAGGAATGAAAAAGTTTCACAAATTTGTAACAATGTAAGTGACTCCACACACACACACACACACACACACACACACACACACACACACACACACACACACACACACACACACACACACACACAATGCTATCGTTCCGTTTCACATCACAATCATTGATTTGGGGGGCTGAGTCAACTTCCAAGTGTTGACCACACACTTAACGATATGCCGTCGGAAATACTGAACATGCACCATTTTCGAAAGCCGGCCCCCAATGATTTTCCAGTTCGAGGAGGAAAAATCCCCCCCACCCCACCCCACAGGATAATTGCTCGAGATAATCTTTTCGAGCCATTCGACAATCGGGCCAACTTTGATTGCAAGTCAAGGAAAATGCCCAAATGTGGCCCCATTGATAATATGTCAGTCAAACCTGCTCAGGTGTGCAGTTCAGTGCATTGGTAGCACTCTTGAGAATGCCTGATTTTGGAAACCAAGCAGGTTCAGGCCTGGTTAGAACGTGGATGGGAACCGCGTGAGGCTCCCAAATGCTGTAATTTCCCCAACGTGGTGGCATCAAACCAATAAAATGACAATAAATTATATTCACTTACTCATCTACTTGTGGTAATCTGCCTTGTCAGTAAATGTACATAGCATTTCACTTTGCTGCATTGCTTCTATTTCATATATGTGAATTTTTTATTTTTTTTTTGGGCCAGTCGTTTGCCCACGGTCTTCAGAATCAATCGTACTAGCAGATGAAACTGAAACTCTTATCTCATTCTCTAATTCTAATGGTACTGTTTCTTCAACCAATCAAGATTTTGAAGTTGTCCTCACGGCGGCCAGAATGCTGGCTCTCGATGATGTCAGTGATTTTCCTTCCTCTGAGTGGCTGATCAGAGCAAAATTTATTGGTGCAACCTCGATTAGCAAAACGTGAACTGCGCATGCACGCACGTACACTGCTGGAGTCTACCTGACCCCACGTTGGTCCGTTAACGTTTGTTTCGATTGAAAAGGTGCAGGTGTCGGTCCAAAGGTCAGCCTCGAACGCCCGCTCACACAGTCGTTTACAACCAGGAATCAGTGGGCGAGAGACAGCTCAGAGGCAAGCCGCAGGATGAAGCACTTATTACTTTTTGCCATTACCTTTGCTGCATTTCACCTCAGCTATTCTAATATCCCAGGTAGGTCCCTTCATTTTCCAATTAAATAAAATAAAAACTACTCTTAACCTAACTATCAAAAAATATGCCGGGCAACCAGTGTATGGTTGTTATTGAGAAATCTGTACTTACGTTGTAAAACTGTTAAAATTGAATGCATGCTTCATTTTAAGCGTAATCATTTTTAGTCAAATCTAAACCAAGGTAAAAGCAGACCTTTGTGTTGAATTGTTACAAGATGGCGGCCACAAAAAAAAAAAAAAGTTGATACATTGGACAAAACTTACCATTGTATGTTTTGTTTTTCATCTCAAGAGGACATCAATTAATGTGAGGTCATTTAAAGCTTTGACTTTGAGAACAAACCCAACAGAATGTTTTCACTCAAATGAAAATTTTGCAGAGCGCTTTCCATTTTCTCTCTCGCTTATTACTCACGACAATCATGGGTGAGCTTGAGCCTATCCCAGCTGACTTTAGGCAAGAAGCTGGTACTTTACCCAAAAATATTCACGTATTTACACATTGGTAATGATGATGACTAACATATAAACCAAAGTTACAAACAATGTCTTGACACCTCAACCCCAATGACTAACCAAAGAATCATCGTGGGACAAGGCTCTTTGTATTACTTTTCATTCAAAATCGAGTGAGTTCTGAATTTGTTTTTTTAAAAGTTGGGATAATATATGAAACCGATGCCCCTTTGAAGGACTGTGAGGGAAGGAAGTTTAAACGTAGCATTTTTATTGCCGTTATAAAAAGAGGGAGTGATGAGGTTAAACATTTATAACAAGCGGTGCATAGAAGATATCACAAGCCTGTGCAATGCTCATGTTATCACTGAACACAATTTCTTTTTTTAAACCCTCCAACAGACTTTTGCCACTTAGCCGATGATGAAGGTTTCGGCACGAAGTTCATCATTGCTTTGTACTACGACGCCGCCAACGACCAGTGCAGCCCGTTCATATACAAAGGCGAAGGAGGCAACGACAATCGTTTCCTAAACGAACGGGAATGCATGAAGAACTGCTCGGCCCATATCGAGCGCAGCTACCCATTAGATGGTGAGATTAGGTGGCGGCTCCTAATTGGTCGATTTGTAATTTTACGATGGTTCAAAGTAGATTCCCTTGGCGGTGCACCGTATATGATGACGTTGAATCATTAACATCATTGGATGATGGGGTTCGTCCTCATTAGGGTTTTGCGTGAGCTGGAGCCTATCTCAAGCCGGGTACACCATGACAGGGCGCACAAAGAGAAACAACCATTAACATCAAGGAGCGAATTAAATGTTTGAATTAAGCGAAGCTACATGTTTTTGGAATGGAATTTACAGTACAGTTGTACTTTTCAGTAATGTAGAACTGTACTCTACCACATTAGGAGTATTAAAGTTTCATATTTGATGGGTTGTCAAATCACCCCCCAACTTGTTGGTTCGAGGAATAAATAAGATTTTGTGTCTGTGAGAATTTTATGACATGCAGGTGTCTGTCCTACCATCCTGCTGCTGTTAATATTTAAAGACCTCATTTACTGCCATGATGTAGCCGCCTCGTAAGCCAAAAAGAGAAACCGATTGTTGAATTAACGTTTGTCAAGACTGTGCAGTGGTATCTTTGTAAAGGCTGTATTCCTGCTACGTTCGTTTCATTGGATGGTTCAGATGTAAAGTACCTTTCGCGCACCTTAGGTCGACAAACACTTGACTGCTGCACATTTATGTGGAAAACACTCCACCACGTGGTAAAGCGAAGAAACGACACTCTGCATCTGAATGCTTTGAACACCTGACCTTGTTTTGCATTATCAGAGGCCGATTATTATTCGTTTTTCCCCTCCACTGCTAGCAAGGGAAGCTTGCATGTTGAAGAAGCTCGGTGGTGGATGTAACGGCAACTTTCTGAGATTTTACTACGATGCAGTGCATGGGAGGTGCAGAAAATTCTTTTGGACAGGCTGCCACGGAAACGGAAACCGATTTTTTGACGCAGACAGCTGCAACGCTACCTGTGCCGGTGTCTTCGGTGAGTGTGGATCTTCCCCCAAACTTGATTGTACGTTTCAAGCAGATCTAATGGTTTTTCCATGTATTCTTAGAAGAAGGAGAGGAAGAGGAGGAGGATGAGTCGGACACGCCAATCGGTAGGTAAAAACAGTAAATTACAAAACCCCAGACATGACAGGGGTGAACAAAGTTCAACCATAGCCACTAAATAGGTATACTATGCATATACACCTATTTTGTGGCCCAAAATTTTTATTTTGTGGTCATGTTGTAGTCCCAACTGAATTTTATGCCTCCGAGTCATGCCTGGTCCACCGTAGTAAACATTTACTCACTTGATGGTCATCTTCAACAGCAATCATCTGTGGAGTCTTGATAGGAGTCATCGTCACATCGATCATCATAACGATCATCGTCTTGACTGTTCAGTCTCAGTAAGAGCAACCTTTTCAATGGGGTCGGGGGAATACAAGAAGATGGTTATTTGATTACGTGTCTGCTGTAACTTCAATCTGTGCTCCTCCTGCAGGAAACAGCAGAAGAACGCCCCGGCAAAAAGGAGAGATGAACAGCCTGAAGTTCCTCTCAGGGAGCAGAGTCTTGAAATGGCATAATCCAATCAACACTTTGTGTGTGTGTGTGTGTGTGGGGGGGGGGGTGTTAGGTGTTGATACCATACTTTCTACTGTATGTCTTGGATCATGATAACGGTGCATATGTATTTTCGTCATTTGTGACGACATGGAAGTATCCACCCACCGCAATCATAAAGGGAACATCAATGTATTCATCGTTAACAGTGATGCACTCTCATGAGTGACATTCTAGTTCAACGCCTTCACTTTAGCAACAAATATGATGGTGGCTTTTGACTTTTGCAGGTTTGTACATGAGTAAGTCATACCATTTTTTTTGGGGGGGGGGGGGTTGTTTTTTGTTTTATAGGTAGGGGAGACCGGGGTTTGATGTCACACTTTTTACACTTTGAGATATTTCTTGGAACCAATACATCATATATAAAGAAAATGTGCACCAAATGAAACAACAAAGTCTCAGGTATATATTTTGTATTGCTGTCATTTATATATTTCGTGCCAGTGCTGAGTTATTAGCAATCAAATTGAGAGTGTGACCATGTGACATTTTGCCCCACCATCAGCTATGTTGTCTCATTAAATGGGGTAAGATGTAACACTGGATTTTGCAAAAAAAAAAAAAAAAAAAAAAAAAAAAAAAAAAGACAAAATTATCAGTGTTCTCCTTTTTTCCTCCATTTGAATGGGAACATCAAAGTCAGACTAAGAATATGCTTATCACTGAGCTTGAAAATTTCATGAAACATAGCCATTGAATTAACCTTTAACCGAAAATATTTTAACTGAAAATTTCTGGCTATGCACCTGCACCCAACTTTAATTAGATACCCAATTCCAAGGAAGTTGGGCCGTTGTGTTAAACATAAATAAACACAGAATACAATGTTTTGCAAATCCACGTTTAACCTGTATTTAATTGAATACGCTTTTTGGGAGGCACTACCTTCTACGGAGACAAACAGACTTCTGCCTGGAGCTGGCTCCGTTACTGTCACTTTTAAAATACCGGTTGTAAAAAAATAAAAATCCTGAAATGTTACCTGAGCTATTGTAGTTCCATTTGGCGATATCGCTATTAGTTCTATTGGAAGTGAATCAAATGTTAGTTTCCTTACTACTACCTTATAGTCGCTTTTTCAAATTATTATGAGTTGGATTGTGGAGTCACAGAACTTTTGTTTTACTTCAGGGCGTCTATTATCTTCAAAAATATTTTGTTACTTGTGATTGACTGGCTACAGGCTGTAGGGGGCGCCACTCTATAATAAATGTGCTACAGTATTTGGAAACATGCACTTGTCAGAATGGACAGGCAGCTCTTCATGATTAGGTTAACTTCCTCAACCGTCCTCTCGTTTTTTATGAAATTCTTTATAGGGTTTTTGGCACTTTAAAGCCCCTCCCACCACAAACTGGTAGTACTGCCTCGGTCACTAAACCTGTCCGGTCCTATCGTTAGCTGTTGAATCTTCTCATCCAGTCCACATCAATTCTAATCCAATGCTTATGTAACGTTACTGTTGTTTTATTTTAACTATTCTGGATTAATTTTATCAATTTTTTTCACTTTCTGCATTTCCAATCGATATCCATCACAATACATATAACTACAGATGGCGATACCAGGCAGCCAAAGCAGACAGGTTGGAAAAAAAATAGACACCTGGAAATTATAACTGGTAATGCAGTTATATTCAAGCAACATGAAGGCAACATGAGATGGTATGAAAACAGGAAGGTTAAAAATAAAAACTATTCAGATTGCCTTTATCTTTTCAGCCAGTTTGTTGGCGGAGAGCTGTGTGTTATGGAATGTTGGCGGCATTGTAGTGTATCATGGGTGAAACTCCTCTACAACAAAACCTACATGGGCGAAAATACCCCTAGTGTGAAAAAATTTTCATACATGAAAGCCATTCCCACTTTTCTGCTCCCCCTACAACGAAAAGTCCCCCTGTTCCGTTATGCGTAATCTTTTTCTCTGCTCTGGCCTCACAACGAGATTCACTACAACGAAAACAAGCCTTCCGCAAAAGTCTAATCCAACCTCAGCATGCCACAGCGACCTCTACTACTGCTTTGTTCGGAAACGGCAACAGCAACCACCACATTGGTTTACACATGCACAGTACAGGAAAAATTTGTTGTTAGTTTCAGACGCAGCACGAGCGTTGCATTACTAAAATGGCGACAAAACGGACCTTTGCATACCACGGAGTTAAGAAAAGAAAAGCTTTAATGCTTGAAGACAGGATAAAGGTAATAAAAATGAAAGATGGAGGAAGCAAAATAAAAGACATTATGCAATAAATTGATGTAAGTGAAAGTAAATACTGATCGTAAATTTCACAATTTCTTTCCCTTTTTTTCTTTCTACGCTGGCTATATGAAGTGTCAAATAAATGTATGCTCATACTTATGCACTATTGGAATAAAAATAAAAAGTACACATATACGTTTTTTGTGTGTGTTCATGTGTACGTCTGAGATAAAATTTGCTACAGTGAAAAGTCTCCTGTTGTGAAAAATTTCTTGCTGCAAACATGATTTCGTTGTAGAGGATTTTCACTGTAGAGCGTTTTCATCATTTTCTATGCCTTCATCGTGTTACAAACATTAAAAAGTCTTGCCTCTATTTCCTCACCGTGTATTACATTAAAATGCAATTTTTTGCAATTGCAAATTTCTCCAGTGTGGGACAAATAAAGGTTATCTTATCTTATCTTATAAAACCTTGAAACATAAACCCAATTAAAAAGCCCGTTGAACTGATACATGGTGTCATTGGATCTGGGGCCTCTAAGGGGCAATGTTGCGCCAGACGTGGCTGATCCCCTTTCCTCAGCCTATTGTCCCGCTCCAAAATGCGCCCTAGTGCAAGTGTGTGTCGGCAGGATGGAAACGGACCACTACACGGCGTACGGCAGCCACTAGGGGCGCTGGTCCCACTTCAACGACAGCACGATGACGCGTGCCAAAGAAGAAACGCTGAGGACGGCCAAAGGCGTACGTTCTCTTCTCGACGGAGAAGAATGAACAGGCGGCGGTTGCGCCGGACACGTGCCCTGCAGAGGTGGACGCGCAAGTGGTTTTGGACGACCGCTCGGCACTGGAGAGGTCACCGTTACAAAACGCAAACACAGCTGGACCAGAGAAATCGAAAGCAGAGAGAACGCGATCAGCCCAGGGCTCTGCGCACGTGAATGATATTCAAACTGAGACGCAATCAATCAGACCAGTTTTGTTCTTCACCGCAGACACACATCACAACCTTCGCGCCATTTTTTTTTCAGTATCCAAAAGTCATCATCACAAAGTGATTAGGTGTCTTTTAGGATGTTGTTTTGCATTCAAGCCCTTGGTGTTTTGTAGTTTAATGGATTTTGTATCCAATTCCAAATGTTATTGTTTCACTGAATGGTTAAGGTTTTAGTCTTGGAAAACATTCGTTGGTCCAAAGTTTGACCCAGACTGACCAATATCTTTTAGTCAGACACTGCCATCATACAATCAGTTGGAGTCTGCCTTATTTTGATGCTTTCTCATGTTCTCCACCGACACTTAACCTCTTATGTGTGGTATACACATCCCGAAATTTTTAATTTTCAAACTGACAAACCCCACACAAGGATGTGTGTTCATTAATATTGTACAATTTTAATATTTACGAATTCTGAACAAATCAGAGAGGAGAAATCAATCGTAACACACGGCAGGCAACATGATAATCTTTGAGAAATCCAACTATCAGGTCTTTTTAGCTTTGACCTGAAGGTCAAACATTTGGCCTGAGTATCATGTGAGTACCCTGCTTTACTGATGTGGGAGCTTGTAGCCTTTGTTTAATTGAAATACTTTCATGACTGAAAAAAAAAAAAACTCATTCATCATGACCAGAATGAGAAAGATAGCATTTTGTTTGTACTTTTACTTTTACAGCAATGATAAATACGTTGAAAATGCTATTGGTTGGGGGAAAGGGCTTTGTGGATAGCAGCGTTCATTTATTTTCATTGATTCAAATAAATTAAAAATGTAAAACCACAGCTGTTTTGATTGTGAAAAATAATCATTGGTGCTGCCTGAAATTAAAGAGGCAACTGAAGAATACACCGGTTCAGTGTGCATACTAATGCATTCCAGTTAGAAATTCTAATGAAGCAAGCTCATTTTGTTTTTTTTGTTAAACGAGTTGAAGCCCAGTCTTCTACTTGGAATCGGATGTAGCCTTTAATGTTCAAGAGCAACATGGAAAGTGCCGGTGACCCTTTGTTGTTTGTCCTCCACACACTCATAGACTGGAAAAGATTCAGTGCATCTTTTTGCTCAACACAAGAACATGCTGCTGCTCTCACGTGGCTCACGACACACTCCTTCAAAACATAGATCTTTTTTTTTCTCTCTCTACCTCTGACGCAGTGATGCTGTATGCTCAGCTCTAATGAGCTCACATTGAAGTGTTTTTTTTTTGTTTTTTTTATTCCCTCGCTGGTAAAAGGACATTGTGGCACAGTGAGTCACGATCCAGAATGTATTCCCGGCACTGATGTTTCGCAATGTCCTACGTGTGTGTGTGTGTGTGTGTGTGTGTGTGTGTGTGTGTGTGTGTGTGTGTGTGTGTGTGCGTGTGTTTGCGTGTGTGTGTGTGTGCGCGCACGTGTGCGTGTGTTTTTTAACTGATCGAGAGTAGAACAGGACATGACTGGCAGCGTAGTCTGCGATGATGACTCGGCCATAATGGCATGTCCTCTTCACTGCCATTTAGCAATTTGGAACATTCACTGGGTCACGGATTCACCTTTAGAGAAAGCATGGAATAACAAACACCATGTGACATTCTTTCACATTGAAGAGATCCTTTTTTTCGTTTAATACAATGTAATTGTCTTGCGTACAATACAGGGAAGTTGGTAAATGGGTCAGGTTGTACTGTACTCCCACATTCACAGCACTTTACAGTAAATAGAGTACCAGTAGTGTCGTATTTACATAGCTTGTATTGGTCCAAGTTTCACCTTAACCATCTTTACACCGACTGACATATTCTCTCTCTCAAATCGCTTACATAGTTTTCACTTACTGACACATAACTGCAACAATTTAGGTCTACAACGAATGTACTCATCAGGTAAAATGTATGCATGCAAAAGAGGAATGTTGAGAGAAGATTGTATGTATGTTTTATGTTTCAAGACCCCTGTAACATTGAAGTTATAATTGAATAGTATAAATTCCCAAATTTTTTGGGGGAAAAACAAACAAACAAAAAAACAATTTAATCAAACGAGTTGAGTTGTGCTCCGATTCAATGTTTGTGGATTACTATGACCTGAATGACCGAGAATCTGCACAGAAAAAAAAAAGCAGGCGCATTGGTATCTTTTTCTTGGCATTGTGTCAGTACGTTAAACATGACTTTGGGAATTATTATATTACGCTCATGATTTGTTGTATCAATTCATTTATTTACCGTATGTCTGCTAAAATTGGTATTTAAAACTAGGAATGTCCCGATCACGAGTCTGAGTCACCTTGGTAATATATTTTTAAATTTTTTTTTATTTTTTATTTTTTTTTTAACAAAACTATCAGAACATGACACTTCTTATATAGCTAATGAAGCAGTGGGTTAAACCAAGTAAAACATTTAAATTACATTTTTTCTTTTTGTTTGGGCACATCAGTTTTTCAGGTGGCATATTACATTTGTTGTGTTCAACACAGCTTTATCCTTTGCACCATAGGAAATGGTCAATTTTCACACAGTCTCCACCTTCTACATGAAATTATTTCCATCCTGCAGGCATTATCATTGCTATGAGACGCTAGCTTCACGTTAGCTTCCCGCGACAACCACCAGAACGTCCTACCCCCACCCCCATTTCTTCTTTTGTCATCTTTAAAAATAAAAAGTTAAATGTATCAATTTAAAAAAAAAAGGCAAACTGATCAAAGTGGACATATAAACGCATGCAGTGTTATGGTACGGTGTCACGTTGTGTGACAAAGTTTCTCTCTCTATTCCTCCTCCATGTCACTCAGGGTGCATTTGTATCAGATAACTAGTCCGGGATAGTGTAAACATCTGCTTCACCCCAGTGGGCTGCTGGCCGCCTGTTGAGAGCCACGACAGATGGAAAGAGAGCGTGTGGCTCCAACACTCCCCTCTTTGACTGCACTGGCAGTTGTCTTCCTAAAATAGCCTCCACTCCACAGCCTTATATGTGCAGGGCCTCCAGCATGCGCCCGAGGAGGTATCATGTATCTAGGCCACACAATACAAGCTGCAAGGCTCATTGTTGCTGCCTACCATCAGGCCTCCTTGCGCCCGGGCGACGAGGCCTCTCTGTGGGACTCGGGACCGGCACACCATGGATTTACTCCAGCTCAACCGCGAGTGTCTCCTGCACCTTTTCTCCTTCCTGGATAAGGACAGCCGCAGGAGTTTGTCTCTTACCTGCACGCCGCTGCGGGATGTCTTCCTCGACGCCCGCCTGTGGAATGTTCTCCACTTCAGCTCGCTCTCTCAGCTGAGGGGCAACAACTTTGTGCTGGGGCCCTCTTTGCGTCATCTGTCCATCTGCTGGCACTCCAGCAGGGTGCTGCAGGTGTGCAATATCGAGGACTGGTTGAAGAGCTCCTTCCAGAGGGACATCTGCAGCAAGCACGACAAACTGGTCAGCATCTTCCTGGCTCGCGTCTGCCACATGTGAGTGCTTGTGTTTGGTACGCGTCTATATTGAGTCAAGGCACATACATTATGTTGGAAAAATTTCACTGCACATCACCAAATAAAAAAGGTCCAAAAAGTATGAAGATTGGCAGCGGTCAGTGTTAGCACAAAACCTTCAAGCTTCTGCTCGAAAGCACAAAAAAAGTCAGGAAAAGCCTACTAGAACAGCTGAGCCCTTTGGAGGTTTCATCAGAAGCGCAAATGGTGGCAGGGTTGTGTTGACTCCGCGTGAACATGAGTTTGACTATTAGAAACACTTCAGTATAACGCACTTCAGTTCAAGATCAAAACAAAACTATCTGTCCACCTTTTTTCCATCCTTTAAATTAGCACTGACTTCCAGGAGAGTGATAGCCCTTCAAATAACCAACATACACACACACACACACACACACACACACACACACACACACACACACACACAGTAGGAACACATCTAGAGAGGCAATATTTAAAAGCCAAGAGTCTTCCTAATCTGTGGGAAAACGAGTTATATTAATAAAACTCCAATCTCATTTTCTTCTTCTGCTCCTTTTTTAATGTAAAGTGCATATGCTATTCATGCATGGCACCGCAGTGACAGAAAAAGGCCGCCAGGAACAGCCTGTATTGATTTGCATTTACAGTTATTTTAATTGCTGTTATTTTAGTATATTATTTTACTTGCACAGCACAGATATCGACTGGTTAGCACGTCCTCCTCACAATGCAGAGGTGCAGGCTTCGATTCCGGCTCCAGCCTTCCTGTGTGGCATGTTCTCCCCATGCCTGAGTGGGTTTCCTCCGGGTACTCCGGTTTTTCTCCCACATTCCAAAAACATGCAAGGCATGTTAATAGGACACTCTACATTATCCCTAGGTGTGATTGTGAGTGTGAATGGTTGTTTGCCTCCGTGTGCCATGCGATTGGCTGGCAGCCGGTACAGGGTGTACTCCACCTACTGACCGAAGTCAGCTGGTATCGGTTTCAGCACGCCCGCGACACTCGTGAGGAAAAGCGGATTAGAAAATAGGATGGATGGACCTACTGTGAAATCTGGGCCTGCTTATTTGAGCAAAAAGCAATTTTTCTGTTGCATGAATGGCATCAGGTGGATCCACAGGTTTGTTCCGCTATATAATGGCACCCCTTGATGATCCCTCATAGCATATTACAATACAATACAATACAATACAATAAATCTCTATTTATATCGCGCTTTCACAGATGGATGGATTATGTGGTTCATTTTAAAGAAAGGTTCATTTTTTAGGAAGCAACAGCATGCAGGTGTAATTAGCTCTTGGTGACAGGGAACAAAATAATTAGCGGCAACTTAAAAAAAAATAAAAGCTGACACGTGATTCTGTGAAAATTATAGTGCTGAGCTATGTCATTACCTTTCATTGACTAATGTGGCAGTAGTTGCTTTTGATAGGTCACTTGGAAAAGAAAACACATCCTGTCATGTGAGAAAGCACAACCTGTCAGCCTTTGCAGAGGCGTAATGATGTCTCTCTGCATGTACATCCACGCATGCCACGGACAAGTGACGCAGATGCGAGACAAGTGTTGGGGAGGGCGGGGTGGTGGCTTGCATGAATGACCCTGTGTGGATTTCCTGTTCGGAGAAATTTGAGACCCGGCCACATGAGCTACAAAACCAGTCTGAACTGGAACTGCCTACTTTGTCTGGCTCGTCTATTTTGACGCCTCGGAGCCTCACTCATGGCGTGCTGATAATCCCTCCCCAAATTGGTGGGGAAAGCTTTCGCACATGACAAAAGTAGGAGTGCGAGCCGAGGAGGGGCGCTCAAGAGTGATATGGCCTTAGCCCCGCCCAGTGTATGCATGCAGGTGGAGCCTACAATTGACCCTTTGTTGTTGTCAGAGGAATGAACATGTGCATCTATCCCTGCCTGCCCTCTTCCCCGGATAAGGCGACCGGGGCCGTCTCATGCCTTTTTATGGGAAAAGCTGTAAAACATGTCGACTGGTCTCCTTTTAGTGCATTTTCCACGATATCAACAACTACATTTCTAGTTTGCATGCGATTTACTGGAGGCTACAGCACACAGTGTATCAACATGTCATGTGACGTGAGGTGGGCGGCTTCTGCTGTGTATTTCAACGACACAGTGAGACAGTGCTGGCTGAAGTATTCACACTGTAGTATAAAACACAACTGAAACAAAGGGCTGAACATGAGATTAAAAATCAAACATCAAACAATTAAAAACAATAAAACATAGAAAACAGACAGTGTCGCATGCTGAGTTGAAAGCCAAGGGGAAAAAAATGAACTTTAAGACGAGTTTTGTTTGTTTGGTTGGTTTTGTTAAGATGGCACAAGACAACACTTTCACCACAAAGCCTTCTTAAGATGACAACATTAAACAGTTCACTTAAACAGGGCCATGGAGGTAGAAGATATCTTGCATCTCCAAATCGGTTCTTGGTTCACATTCATCCAAAAATCACCCAAGATCTCAATCAATCCAGATCTCAACCACAGTTGAATTTACCTCTCTATACTGTTGTCATCCATGAACGTTGTAAAAAAGTAACAAGCCAATTTTACAAAGAAAGCAGTAGAAAGTATAAATGTCTGTTTTCCAATGTAGGGAGTAAAAATGAAAAATAAATACAGTACTTCATTAAAGTACTTACACCTGAAAAATGTACTTTAATATCGTAACAAAATATTTTTACTTTGTTAGTTCCCACCACTGCCGTGAGATCTGTGGCGTCTGAATAAATGGAGGCTTTGAGAGCCGACGCTAACACAGGCAGCCCTTGTCTAGTTAGCACACAAAGTGAGTCTAGTTTGAGCAGACATGCCCTCAAAAAAAACTGTGAAAAGACTTACAAAAAGGTTTTCTTAAAATTTTGCAACCCCTTCCACCCTGTATGTCAAGAACCTTTTGGAGTTTGTCGGCAGAATTCGACCAAGCGTAACCAAACAGGTCATTAGCGAGCTAATTGCCAGTTTGAAGTAGCATGCTTAGCTGTGGCCTCTTCAGAGACGTGTCTCAAGGCTCGGACGGGACTGCCCCTGTGCAATTATCGTTTGGCTTCTTTTGTTTTCACGGGAACTTCATCACGTCTTTTGCAGAACGAAGGAACTTTGGCAGGAAGTGTTTAGTGGTTCCTCAGAGAGTAAGACTCTCCTTTGCTTCAATAGATCGGACCAAAGTGGGGTGCTACATGCTACTCTCGGGCCAGCTCACTTGTCACTTAGCGGCAGCCAGATGTGATGTCGGATCGATGGTGCAAGTCGTCGCATTTCGACAACCGACCTGGATATACCAAACTTGGGTAGTGAAGATGATAAAAAAAAATAGAGGTGATAGTAAGTAATGCATGAAAGTAAACTGAGATGAGATCGTTGTTTCAATATTCGTACTGTTTGTGACATATGTGTTCTGGGAAATGTTTCTCATGTAACATGGGTGCCTTGGCTCAATTGAGGTTGGGAAACACTGAGCCCGACCACCATGCTCAGAGAATTGAAATTCCCCTAATATGTACGTATTGTAGATATTTATAATGCGTGCTAGAGCAGAGATCCCCAACCATAAGATCGCGGACCGGTACACTTGGCACGTGAAATCAGAAAACTCATATAGAGATTCACCTCACACCAAGCGACATTTTTCATGAGTTGATTTTTTTTATACAGTATAATTTAGCTGACAAGGAAAACAAAAAGAAAGCTGAAATGGCATTATGAATCGAAAAGATTTCAAAGATAAAAACGATTTTGGAGTTGCCATGTATCTGTACACGAATACAAGTTTGGCATTTTGAATCGAAAAGATTTCAAAGATAAAAACGATTTTGGAGTTGCCATGTATCTGTACACGAATACAAGTTTCAATTTTAGAATTGAACAAGTGAAATAAAGAAAGTTTTCAACAGTATTCTAACTTAACGAGACGCATCTACAAAGACATGAATAGCCGCAAGAACAGCCAGCAGTATTGTGGGCAGCAGTAGAACATTTATCAATAAATAAGTCTATAAATAGAGAGATTGCGATAGAAATGAACAAATCTATCATCCATCAAAACCATCAACAGTGGATTGGCAAGTATGCAAAAGCAAATCCCATACTTATAGGCTTAATGTAGATTGTTAAAACTCTTAAACTCAAAGAGGTGCGGTTACTTTTGGAGAGCTGCCCAAAAAACAAAACAAAAAAAAACCCCTCATCTTGCAGCCAAATTTCCTTTTAAAGCTTTGAAGACTGTAATTAAAAAAGGAATACATTTTCTCAAATTAAAAGGGAGTTGCCATTAATGGGTGGATTATGTAACTTTTAAGACTTGGTACACCTCTTTCACATCCCTTCCCTCTTTAACAGCCAGCAGAGAGAAATTCCATTGGTTGCGTTTTTATTTTCTAAATGTGATTGTCCTTCTAAAGCTGGGTGCTGGCACGTTGCTGCACGTGGATGCGCCACTATCACATGCGCAGAGGTTACTGGGGCAGCACCCGTCACACTGGCAGTACACTGGAATATGTTTGGCTCACATGTGGCAAAGCGGTAAGATTATGTAAGTCTTTATGTAAGCTGCATTAGTGAACGTGAACGGCATCCCTCTGCCGCCAGCGTGCTCGTCTCTGCCAGCCTGACGAGTGTCAAGGATTTTTTTTGAAAAAAAAAAAAAAAAAAAAAATCGGTTCAAACTAAAACGACCGCTCGCCAAGTTGCAAGTCGTCAAACATCCTGTTATTGTTCAGTCCGCAAAAACCATGCGTCCTTTATTTATGAAAGACTTCTTCGATGAAACACATAGTCCCACAGAGACGCAGTGCAAAGCGAAGGCAGGCTGAAAGTATCACCGTACTTTATTGCCAAACAGCTCATGTTGCTGCCTCTCTGAGCTTTGCTTTTCATCACGTGTGTCATCTCCCCAGCTATAACTCCTTCTCTATTATCTCACTTTTTTTTTTCTTTTCAAGAGGCCCGAGGAGCAGTCATTGGTAAATAAGCACACACGCCAAGCAGCACTGCTTACTTAGGACGAGTGATAGTCCCTCTTCAAACAAAAGTAATCCCTCAACACTGTAGCACACGCGGTGTGTAACAATGACTCAGAATGGGTTTGCGGTACAGTGAAAACGCGTTAATCACGGGTGAAATTAGGTGACAATCCGCAATAGAATGAGACCATACAAAACACTTCTTAAAATGTATAATTTTACCCATCTCACATTCTTTTAACACATTCAAACTTATCAAAACACTTTTAAAGTATTTTTTTAACACATACTCCAATACTCTTGTTCGCACAGTTATGCAAATAAGATATTTGTCATTCCGAGTTCGGGTTCACTGCAAAAACGACGTGTCGAACAAATTAAACATCGAACAATGAAAAGTTCAACCAAATCATTTGCTGTCATTTCTTCTCGCGAACGTCCTGCTAGCTTAATGCTAACAGACAATTTGACACATTTTTGACCGGCTAACAGAAATAAGCAGCTATACACGAAGCAGCAACGCATTGGAACAGCACATACAGCAACATTACTACTGGAGGTGAGTCGGGGACCTTATTTAACTCTTCTTCTTGCTCTTAATTAAGCTGCATCTCTACAAGCGGAACTTAGTGTTGCCTAGCATGTTACGGCAACTCCAAATTTTGACTTACAAGGATTCATAAAATATATATTAACGAACATGGTGTTCAGACAGTGTCCAAAATTCCTCATGTTCGCAAGGAGCGGCGTGCCTGTATACTGAAAAAATTCAATAAACATCTGCATTATAGTGGAGGAAACACTGCACTGTCATTGTGTGTCCTACAGGTGCCCTAACCTGCTATCCTTGAAGCTATCTGGCTGCGGACACCTAAGTGATCAGGACGTGATCATCTTGCTGCAGAGGTGCAGGAAGCTGCGTCGCCTCCATCTGGAGAACTGCGTTCGCATTACAGACCGCATCCTGGACGGGGTGGCGGCTTACGGCGTGAGCCTGGGGGAGGTCAAGGTAGACTTTTGCAGGAACATCACGCAAGAAGGGCTCGAGGTTGTGCGAGAGCAGAGGCCCGACCTGAGGCTGAGTGCGGAGAGAAGCGCAGGCATGATCCCAGATAGTAAGCCCGAGGAGAAGGTGCCGCTCAGGAGAACCTTGCAGAAACTCTTGGAAATCTCCGGATAGAAGAGCCGGTTTTCCAAGGACTATAAATTGTTTATTCGCTGCGTGTTTTTTTTTTTTTTTTGGTTTGTTTGTTAATTATTTATAGGGTGTGTGTTCACTTTATGTTTTTCTACTATAAACTCATGACTTTAGACTGTTATTCCTCACTATTTGCCCAAGTCCTATTACGAAAAGCGGAAAATCCCGAGTAATTAATTGGCACCCCACAATTAAAAAAATAAAAAATACCTTCAATGTAATCCTTAAAAAAAACCCAGGCTGAAATGAGCTCCTCCCTGACAAACAAAGCTCATCTCCCAGTTGAGATTTAACACCCCAACAAACTTCCTTGCCACCAATTACTATTTTCCTAGTTTGGTGCCGACTTGTGGTATCGTAGTATCGTAGGGTGTGTCAGCCATGTCGTGAATTGTGAACCACAACTGACTGTACAAGCAACACTACACTTCACTAACAAGTTGGATACAAATATAGTCTGGCTGATTCTTGTCAAAGAGAAATTGGCTTCAAACAAAATTAGGTGTTATTAGGTTTGCAATGATATAATTAAAAAAACTCAAATTTTCACACCGGTGTTGTATTGACCATAAAAATGATGCTCCGAATTGAGCCGTAATGGAGGACTATGTGGATAGTGGCCTTTAGCAAGCCTAAATCGACAATTGGGCCAAATTTTAGCAGTTTTATCTCCCTTCCCACCAAAGTCAGCAATGGTTCGATTGTCAGATACCTCTGAAAGATTATTTATCAATTTATCCTGTGGTGTGGAGTGTGTTAAGAGTGACAAGCATAAATATTCATCCTGTTCCAAATGCTTCTTCTTGCGTGCTGTGTGTTGTGTTGTTGATCTCTAAGTACACACAGGAGCTATAAGCCGATTTTTTTTTTTTTTTTTGCTCGCTATGTGTGGAGTCTCACGCATTTTGAAAATCAGTTAAGATGCTAAAAATGTGCGTGTGTGTCCATGTGTGCGTGTGCGTGTCTGTGTCTGTGTGCCCTGCTTTAACGGATGTCATTTACTATTATGTCTAGACAGTTCAACGGTGCCTTTACTGGTTGCAGCCAAGTTGTGCACTCCCTTTAACCTCAGTTGCTTCACAACACCTTTTATCAATTCCAGAAACTTCTGAACAACCATTTCATTAGCTCAGTACAATGCAGCACATATGTACATCACTGCAAACTACAACCCCAATAGTTTTCAAACTAATACCAGTATCATGGCACCGGCATTGGATCTCATTTGCAGTTTTGTCAGAGACACGCTGCTAATTTCATTATGAATTCCACAAACTCTTGAAAAGAAGTCTTAAGTGCTCTCGTGTTCTTAATTACACACAATCACCAGGCATTGTCTTCATGGCTATATATTCATAAAAGCAACATTCACAAGTAAGAAATATCCCACAGGGCTGCACAGTAACGAGAGCAGGAGGACGTCTCTCCATTATGTTTTTTGGGGGGTCAAAGACGGTGTGTGATAGGTGCACGGTTGATTATAAAGATGGGTCTCCGAATGCCACAAACAATTTTGCGGTGCGCATCTGTGGTTCGTGTAAGACTTAACTAAACAAGAAAAATTCATTCATTCATTTCATTTCATTTTTATGTGTACTTACACTCTCACAGAACCTTGGTTAAATTATTGGTATACTTGCATTTGATGATTTCGTGTTTTGTTTGTCTTTTTCAATTTGTAGGCTGTGCTATGTGACGTTGAGGGAGAAAGTCTTAAAATTATACCTTATGGTATAGCGATCTTAAATGAAAAAATTGTTCAGAGGCGAGAAAATGTTTTTCACTTTTCTACTCTAATATCCGTCCATTTTCCATGCCGCTTATCCTGACTAGGATCCTCCCATGTGAGCTGGAGTCTATCCGAGCTGACTTTGGGCGGAAGTCAATCGTAGGGCCGTTATGGACCATAAAATTTCGGGAGAACATCGAAACTCCACGCAGGACTGAAGCCGCAAAAGTGTGATCTTTGAGACAGACATCCAAACCACTCGGCCGCAGTGCTGCCTCTCCTTAATATATTACTGCACTACATATGCATCGAGGAGACACCAGGCTTATCGAAAACAGCATGCTTTGATATAAACGTTTGCCTCGTCAGCGTGATCAAATTAAGAGAGCTGTAAGGGTTCCAAGTGGATGCGAGCCCAAACAGACGACTGCAAGTTTGGCGTGTAGCAGCATGAAAGCTTCAAAGCATCAATGAAGCCCGTGTTTCCGCTCGGGGCTTCTTTTGACAGTTATATGATTTCAAAAGAAGACAGGTCTGGAATCACCTGTTGTTCGCGTTGTGCGTTTGCTACTGAACGAAATAACTCCATCACCTCACCTCGCCCACACTGACACGTCACGCTGCATGTTTGCGCACCTAAAACGGCTACTCCTCTCTCGCTAATACAATATGTATGCAAGGCACTAAAAGTGTCCCAAAGGATACAAAGCAAGTTTGTTAATCCATAGAGGGGCTCCCTTGTTGAATTTAAATTTAATTCATAAATGGAACAAAGCCATACTGTGAATATAACATTTGTATTTTGTGCATGAATTGTCACAAACAATAGACAACAGTGCGTATCAATGACGTCATCACTGAGTAATAAAAGTGTACGGATAATTATGAGCCACAAAATTATGGTTAAGAATGATGTGGAAACCTTACGGCCATACCGCTACGATAATAAAGGTTAAGTTGTCTTACGTTATCTTTCCCTGAGAAGGCCTGATCTCGCAAGAATGGCGTAGAAATTGGAATTGGAAAAAGCGGGCCATTTTGGGTCCCTTAAAGCAGTGGTTCTCAAATGGAGTGCCGCGAGCTGTCGCTTGGGAATGCACAACATAATTAGCAAGATACGATGTTGTATCATATTTAAAAATGTCTCGCACCAGTAAAACAAATTAAACCAGTTACTCTTCGCGACCTTAGCTGTGGGACACCATGAACAAAAAGCATTTACTACAGGAATTAAAATGCTAAAGGCAATTTTTTTATGAATATCGTCCTACTATATAGTCTTAGTATATAGACTTTGACATTAATGTTGAAACTTTGAGATAGGATTGGGGAATACTTAATCTCGTCAGATTATGACTTTTTATCCGGACAAAATACATATCTGCTTGTGTGATACAATCGTTTTTGTTTTTTTTTCTTGGAAAACCTACTTTATTCTCTTAACATGATGTTTTTCTCTTGAAAATCGGTCACTTTTTGACTCCTCCGGCATTGTGGTGTATTACTTGGTCGTTATACAGCAATGGAAAAATGTCTTCCTACAACGTTCACTTTGACTTAACCACAGCCATCATGTCTCCATTGTCTTTCAAAATAGATTTTTCACTATTTTACTATAGTTCCAATTTTTGTGAACATTTTTATTAGAATAAACCACTTGAGATGTATCATCTTGCTTTCAACGCCGTTCATCTGTCAAGCGTCTTTGAAGGCATCACCTACTACTTTCCTAGGACATTTTACTCTAAGCCCTGTATAGCTTTTGCACCAACGGACCGATTTATGAGTATAATAATTTATTCATTTCGAGTGGAACGAGACATTTACGCCCTATTTCCAACTAGAAGTGTAGAAAAATGATGGTGTTTTTGGCCACTCGCTTACATCGGAATGGTGTTATGGAGACTGAAAATAGTTTTGGGAAACACTAATCTTTTCTTAGGATCTGAACAAGCATGATTAAGTGTTCGGTTTTTCCACGTGCACAAGTATGTCACAACCAAAATGAACGACGCGCTACGTTGTTACAATTGTGCTGCTCAAAATAATGAGTTTGACAACACTTCTGCAGCTGTGACCTACTGTGACCTGCAGAGTTGCATTTTTTTTTTATAAGAGGTCAAAGGTTAAACCAAAATATATGTCAACAGAGGGTATGCATGTTCGAGCCCATTATTCCAGCTTCCTGTTAAAGCAGTGGTTCCGCCGACCGGCACCATTTAGGATCAAGCCGCAGCACAGACAGACAGACAAAAAATAAATAAATAAATCAGCCCCCCACCACACCAGGTTTGGAATCGAAATGTAATCCCTATTTCCTTATTTATAATTCATTGGTTTTCCATTGTGTGAAGGGAAAATACAAGACTGACTCATTCATCCAACTGCCCTGTCCATCCTCGATCAAACAGGAAGTAGCCTTACAAAAATGGTCAGCAAAATGCACACAAATATGATGCCCCTGCCTATTTTCTTTTTCACATTTTTGTTTGCAGTTTGGCCTTGGCAGAGGTCCCTTATCCTGGTGTTTTGCTCCTGGGTCGTGTTACACTACAGCTGAGCTTAATAAAGGATTTGGCCTTGACGGGGATTTGTATTTGGTGAGGGTGTTCTTTTACAAAAAGCGCAGAGCATGAAACAATACCTGTTTTCCGACTGTTTCCACGATCCACGGTTTCAGTGTGGGAAGTAACAAGAGGAAGAAGTGTGGTGAAGCAAAGCCTCCGTTTCAGGTTTTGCAGCTTTATTACTCAATCATATTCAAATGGACCAGGAACTCTGAAATGATCCAAGCCCTTCGTGGCAAGTGGCTCATTTGAATGAATAGCACGCTTCAAATCAGTGCAGTTGCGCAAAAAGGCTAGCTCTTGGGGTGTTGATTGAATCCGTTCCTCTCGCTCTATTAGACTAACTAATTTCATTAAAAAATCAGCCGACAGACAAAGCAAACTCTCTCTAATCATTTTAATAAGCTGCTGTGCCTCTGCTGGGCAGCATGACGTGGGGGATGAGGATGCTAATGATAGGCAATTGCTTAGAAACACTTGGAAAATAACTAAGGCGGGCAATATATATTTGTGAGTAAGTCACGTTTCTGTGCTTTACTAGTTTTACTTTTTCGGATACCTTTTTTATTTTACTCCCTACCTTTGAAAATGGGTATCCATACTTTCTAGCCTTTACTTTGTCAAAAAAGACTTGTCACTTTTAGCAACCTCTGCGGATGACGTCGAAATATGTACCCCGCGAGAGGTAAAGTTAGCTGCGGTTGAGTTGTTGATCAACTGAATGATTGAGAGCTG